CGTTTTAGTCAACTTCACACACTCATTGTTGAGTCAGCCAATATTACAGCATCGGAAAAAATTGAAAATCAAGTTAGTTTTTGTTACAGGAAAGGGATATTGAATCTGCTTTTTTCTTTTCTAGTGTGAAATACCAAGTCTAAAGTATTTTTCCTTGTCTTGTTATCGGGCAACAAGCTATTACGATGAATTGGTTCTTCCATCTCTTTATCGAATGTCAAATTTAGAAACACTCAATTTATCTCTTTCGATTTCAGTTGAAGAAACATTCATTGATGGACATAATTTGAAGAACAAAATTATTAATCATATGTCACAATTAAATAAATTCACATTTTATATTCGTTCGATTATGAGAATTAAAAATGAAATGATTTTACCATCGAAAGAATATATTCAAAAAACATTCAAAAACTTTCCACATGCACAAATGATATGTTATATGGATCGTTTTCTAGGCAGAAGAGAATGTCAATATCATATATTTACATATCCATCTCAAATGTCATATTATCAATATTTGTCAAATCAATTTCCGGGTGGATATTATCCATATGTTCGTATGGTATCATTATATGATGAATACCCTTTTGAACATGAATTTTTTCTTCAAATAACTCAATCGTTTCCATTTATAGAAAAATTAGTTTTAATTAATTGGAAACCACAGCAACACAAACAATCTTCTAAATCAGAGAATGATAATTGTCACTTATCAATTGTTAAATATTCTCATCTTATTGAACTTGACATTGAACGGGTTTATGATGATTATGTTGAAGAATTTCTCAGTGATAGAAGAACATTTTTTCAAAAGAATATTCGTCTTCATATTGCTAGTAATGCTTTATTAAGAGTAACAGAAAATTTTACAAGGAAAGATACTCGAATGAATTGTATCAAAGTAGAAGATTTATTACCGTGGAGTGAATTTAGATCTTCGAAATCTTTTCAAGAATATTTTCCTTCAATAAAAGAAAGTGATTATATTACTTCATTTTTTATGTAAAATAAGTCAATATTGTATTAAAATAAAAACAGTTGAAGTACTGAATGAAAGAAAAACATGAAAGTTGGCTTGAATATGATTTATTAGGAAGGGATATTTATTGAAAGATGGAAATGTCGAAATAAGACGATGAGATGTGTAGATAGGGTGGATATACGGGTTGTGTAAAAGAAAACATGTCGATACCCACCTTCAATTCCAGTCTATTCCAAGAACCAGAATTAGGAATGGACATCCGTGAAGTAACAAAAAATAAAGCAACAATGGCGATCTAAGAAAATCACTCTTGGAGTAAGTATGGCCATTATCTCATCCACCATCAAGGGTTCAGAGTGTGGATGTGTGTGAGATTGTGGGGTGTGTGTGTGTGTGAATACAGAGAACTACACCTACTCTGCATCCACACACCCACACCCACACCCTAATAGCACGAGTATTAAATACAACGACATTTAGTATCGACAAACTCTGTGTGCAATGCATATCGTTCTACATTAATATCAAATGAAGGTTCAATGCGCATAACCCATTTCAATATTTGCTCATTACTTTTAATACAAAATTCATCTCGTAATGGTTGTCTTGGATGACGATAATATATTGTGTCAAAAGTCTGATGCCATGCATTTGTATTTGATACATTTTCTATTTCAAGTACACGACTCATAAGAATTTCATCGCATATGACAGCACCATCTCGTCTTGCTTTAAACTGAGTATGAAAAACTGAACGAGCGAAATAAATATCAAAACCTAACATTTGCGACCTAGTTGTGCTTAAACGAAAATCCGTGTAAGCCATATTAACAGCTGCTAGAGTATCTGTACGATGAAAACCAATGTATGTAGTAGTTAATGAATCTTTGTTTGGAACATCAGACCTACATATTGAACTGAAATATCATGATGTGTTCCAATGTTCGATCGAGACAAAGCTGTTGTAATTCACATGGCTCATTCCATGATTGAATTTTATTTCGACGTACACCCATTAAATGATATGGTATAAAGCGTCGATGTTTCTTTAAATAAAGTCTATAAAATGGATTTTGATCACATGATGGTACATAATGCCATCAAACACGATAATGATAATAATCCAATCATAAAGTTAGTATTGATGATGGTAATGTAATTTACGAAATGTTTTTGACATGACAAAGAAAATATAAAATCGAGAACCAATATTTATGAAGAACGTAAGTGATGCAATAGTTACAATAAAATTTTCTATTCGAATACGATCAATACTTTTTACTTCACCCATATAAGTTGTTATAGAAATTTCCAATAGAATAAATGGATATAATAATATAGTTATAACATGAATGAATGCTTCACCAAGTACCATATAAAATAATTGTCGCTCACGACTTTGAGTTATAATACTACCTCTATTATTATCAGTAGGATAACGAATTGGCTGAATACGTAATTGTAATTGACTTACATTACGATATGTTAAATAGCCAAAAACACCCATTAGTATTATTGGTATAAAACCAACAAATATTATTAAATAAATATTATGTAAAATATAATATAAACCAAAAATTGATTACATCGTTCATTAATAATTGTTGTTGAGAACAGTATATGAATTGGAAAAAGATGCCAAAAAAGAAATATAATACATATTAAATATCGTGCGTTTGTTGGTTGAATAAAAATTTGAAAATAAGCATTCATTGTTGTTAAGATTAAACGATTAATACATGCTAAAATAATACAATATCTCGCTGATTGACCTAATGTATTTGTTAAATAAAACCGTAATTTATAATAGATTAAAGAGCGAGAATTTAAATCACCATAATTAATACTATAGAGTGTTGGTGGAATAGCAAATAGGAGATAAAGATTGTTTATAATAGATGCCCAAAAGAAATACATTGAACAAGAATTTTGACGATATTTTCTAAAAAGTATTATAATGAAACTATTACCTATTATACCCAAAATGAGTATAATGGATAATCCATAACGGTTAAGTTCAGTTTGAATAACCGGTAATACACTGGTAGACATTGTGTTTTCTTTATCTTGTCTTGAAACAATGATAATATATAAATATAGTTTTTTTTCGTGTTTATATATAAAGCTTTGTCTAATAACGTAATCCTTATCCTGTTTGCTTTTCTCATATTAAGAGTTTTATTAATGAACTAGATGAAAATGTCTTCTAGTTACTTTTATAGAGAAAATGAAGGTTCAATAAAATGTAGGGGTCTACATCATTCTTATGCTAGATCGTTTTGATGACTGTGCGCAGATATCATTTGAGTTATATTAAGAACGTCATTTAAAAACTTGCAATTAATATCATTTAGAAATGTCCTATGTTTACGTAGTGAACTTGGAGTATTATAAAAAATAATTATATTATAGTTTCTTTACTAATCATTTTCTTTCAAAATATAGTTAAAATTGTTGGATTACTTGCAATGATGTTTTCTTTTGCTTAGCTGTTTGAAAAGTCGAAATATTACATTTAAATTATTTAGCAATATAGAATCGAATAAGAAAATTAAAGATGTTTTTTTTTTGATAAAATATCATTCAATCAAAGCTATGTAAATATGTGAGTCTTTCTATCGAAGCCAATAGACAGAGAAGATTGAATAATTTATTTACAAGAATGAAGATTCATTCGATATTTACTAATGAATATAAATGGAGTAGATTATGGAGAAAATTAGNTTTAAGCCTCATACGGGAAACAGTTATATGACTAGGATATTAATTAAAAACAATCGAGAAAAAAAATTAAATGAATACTTATCACGGATTTCCGTTTATCTGATCAACTGATGATTTCTTACGTTAGTTAAAAGTCTATCGAGTGTATACATCCATATGCGTTGCAGTTTTATTGATTAAACAGTTCTTTTTTGTGGAACTTTGTCCACATATTAGATAATTAATGTTCTAAGTTTGTATCTCGTTTTATTTATGACCTTTTTATGACTCGAAGTATCGAAATAATGCGACTGGTAATTTCATAAGATAAGGACTAAAAACGACGCTTTTATGCTTCGACAATTTGCTTATGAACAAGAATGAGTGGATCGTTAACAGCGAGTGTGGAATCTTTCTGCAACATAAAACTGCTTGGCAGTGAAGCCGAAAATCTTTCCAGGATAACTGTGGGTGAAAAAAAGAGCCGTACCCATCCATATCTACATCCCCACAACCACATCCGTGTAAACACAACGAAAGAAAATATATTGCAAATCTAAAAACAAGTAAAAACGACAAGAAAGTGAAATGAAGTTGCGTGTTCATGTTGTGCAAGTGCATATACTGATGACATAACAAATAGGCAAATCAATACTAGTTGATAGAATAAATATCAACGATGATATAATTATTTCTTTGTATTATCAGGTCAACGGTTAGTCAAATTAAGGCGACTTTAACAAAATTATTTACTATCTACTTGTCTAAAGTAAATATATAAATGTCATACGTACATAGGTTTAGGTAGATATGCAAGTTATGTACTTATCTGCTAATATGGCGTAGAATATTTCTAATTTTGATGAGGCTCAAAGTTTTTTAACATAACAATAAAAAGATGACAGTAAGAGGAGCGAACTTCAAATTTCGTCGTCACAGTTTTCATGAAAAAGATGTTCTGCATTCATCCATTTGGATGCTCGTATACTGAAAAAATAATAATACGATACCGAACTATATGAATTTTTCGTGATTGCTATGAAACTTAACAATCAAGGCTGCTCCGACCGGCGGTGGCTAAGATGTACACCCTCTCTCGAATCCTCAAAAATTCTCCCTTTTTGGGTGTGGGTGGAATGTGAGTATGGTTCCAGCTTTTCTCTCTGCTCATACTCATACCTACACTCACACCCACACCCACACCCAGCTACTAATCGATTTTTGACAGAAGAATGCTGTATCTTCCTAAAGAAATAAAGATTATATTGAAAGATTTCTTATAAAAAATTTCGATCTTCGCAAAAAAAAGTCAGGACTCAAAGGATTAAAATAGTTTCAAACAACAATAGCTTCCGATTGATCTGTAACTTTGTACATCAATAGAGGACTTCAAAATAAGCCGATTTAAAATTTGTAAACACAAAAAGTAAATTAAATATTTAAGATATGAAGGATTTGAACTGGAGAAATTATTTACATATTAAGGGTACATCTAACAGCGAATTTATTCATAGAAGTCGGCTTTATTAACGGGAAATATACATCGTGCTAACTTATGATGCCTCCAGGTAGTGTCTATGGACGCATTCCTGTATTGGTCATTGATGACCGTAGATAAAACTACATTAAATTGGTATGCTATCATAAAATCAGTGTACCAGTGTTCCACTGAGCAGTGACTTTAGTTTAATCAGCGGTCACTGAACGCTCGTAGTTCAGTGAACGATGGTGCATCAGTGGTTCCGGTGTCAGTTTAGTCCCAGTGAAAGTTTCGTCAGTGCAGTGTAGCAGGCGCTCAGTGTACCCTCCTTCACTGACGTCAGTTGTCATTAGACCGAAACCGCACATACCTACTAATATCGTAACAGCATCCTCAAGACAAAAAGTAGTGAAAGAAAACAAAATAAACAGCGGGGCATAGGCAGCAGTTCCTTTTTCCATACTGTATAAATTATTGATCGCCTCATGAACTCTCTCTCTTTTCATAAGTTTGAGAGATTATCATTTTCTTTCGATATTTTTATTCTATGATAGACTATATGAAACTAGATTGATGGTAAAAATTTCATTTTTAACTGACAGTTAATATAAAGTTATCGATTGAATAGTGTTTAAGATCTAACGAAAAATAAATGTATAGCAGAGGTATTTTTATGATAGGTGGTACTCGTTAATAAATAACTGAAGATGATTTTACTTTTATGTAGTAGAGCATCTTTGGTTGTATATACAGTAAACATTTGGTTATTATTTATGTAAATATAGATGAGATATAAATAGTATTATAATAGAAGGTCAATATCAATCACAACAAAAAGATTGTTAAAGAGAAAAGCAAACTAGTGAGAGGAATGAGGAGAGGGGATGTAGGTGCCACTTCTTTTGAAGATTGATAGATATTTCGAAATATCATACTTCTATATATTTTTAATTCTTTTTTATTCAACGAAAATAAATTATTAGAGAAGGGAAAAATAGATGTAAAGAATATACATAATCGACTTTGATTCAATACTTCTTAAATAACTTTTCCAAAATGAATACGTCAACAACTTCTCTCACATGTTTCATATCCGACGTAATTACCAACAAAATATTGTAAACAAAAAAGGCCTTATTCACCCTGTTCAATTAACGAACAACCTATATAATTAAAGTTTTCTAAATTACAAATGACTAATTTGTAAATCACATTACACCAATCAAATCTCTCGCTTAGCTTGCTCAATAAATTATAAGGACGAGTAAATATGTAGAAATATTTTCAAATATCAATGAAAATTGAAAAGTTTCATACATATAAACAAACTCAATGATCATGAACGACATACATACTGATTATGTAAATAGACGCAAACGACTAAAAATCTAGTTGTCAATTTCTAACTGATCGAAATGCCTTTACATTATTTTATATGCACGTAATTGATTAGAATAACGATTTAAAATGACTAAATTTTACGATTATTTTTGAAGATCTTATTTCGAAAACATTCCAGACAATATATCAAGATTACCTGAATATTCATCTAACCATTAAAGTCACACAACACTCAGAAAGAATCTTTATCACTTCAAAAAAAAAGACTTAAAACACATTTTTATGTCAACTTTATTTACAAAAATCTATATACATATAAAATCATGATAATCTAATTTCTACAGATTCTTCATTCTTGCTAACTGTAATCTTATGTTCATCGATAATATTAAAACCAAAAGCTTGACGACGTTTATCAATAATGTAACTACGTGAAAAAGGATGATCAAATGATGAAATATTAATATAATAAATTTTAAGATAAGACAAATGTTTTAGATGACTAAGTAATATATCAATAACACATATAAAATCATCGAATGAAAGCACATGAAGTTCAATATCAGTAAGTGATGGAAAACGTTGAACAAGTTTCGATAGAAAACTTGGAGCAACACAATGATCTTCCGCCACTGCGTTGAGTATTTTAATTTGTTTGAAAATTGAAAAAAGAGATCGATTATCGATGAATTTTGATGAAACCAAATTTGTAGGAGTTATTTGAAGATCAAACACATTTGGACATGCTCTAAAACAGAAAAATAAAATATACTTAATATATTTCTATTCATTACCAATGATTATTATACTATAGAATTCAATGTTATGCATCTGACATAAAATGAAATTATTCATTGAGAAAAACATTAGAATTATCAAAAAAAATAACTCATAGGTTTAGAAATTGAAATCGAAAAATAAAAGACTTTCAATCAATATCAAGTATACTTACTGTAGAATAAATTGAATATCTTTTCCTTGACCTACATTAATCCATGGCTCAAAGTTAATTTGATTTACATTCGGTAAATGAACAATATGTGAAAGAGAAGTAACACGTTGCTGTGAAAGAGAAGTAACATATTGCTGTGAATCATCATTATCATTTGATTGAACAGAATTCACTAAAAAACAAGATAATGAACAAAACCGACAGGAAGAATAATCAAATCGAATTTATCTATATATGATAAAAATCGAAAATATTCAGTTGAAAAAAAATTGAAAGTGACAAATTCATTTTCATCAACTGAACTATATAATTAACAGAAATGTATTCTTCTTACCAATATACAATGAATTGTTCGGCCCTGAAAAATTTACTACTGGATAATAATGTACGACGAGAGAATTGATATGTTGAAATAAAGGAAAAAAAGTAATTCTTGGTGTTATCTTTTCTATGTCCAATTTTAAATATTTTGTGTCTGAATAATAAAGATAATGATCATTTGTTGTTGCTTTTGTTGATCGAGTCTCAAATGATTCAAAAACAATCATTGGAATGGTTACATGTACGTTTCTTTTGTATTTTTGATAACCAAACGTGCGTAACATAACAATCTCTTCTATAAGAAAGCAAAAAATATGTTAAAAAAAAATTGGTTTCAGAATAAACAAATCCTCATAGGCGAATTGAGTTTTCATTGTCTAATAATTGCTTGTCTGTGCGTTGCTTTTCATATTTTATGAATATTCCTCTCCTCGTTCTACAAAAGTAGATTTTTCTCAACGAATGCTATTTTAACATAGGTAGATAGTTCTAAAGCCTGAGTCACTGGAATTTCACAGTCAATCTGATAGTTGGTTGATCCATTATTTTTATGATTGATTTTCAATATTTTTTTTTCCCAATTGTCGTAAAGAAAAGCAATCTTTTTCTCCAATCTAATCAAACATATGGTGGTTACAAATAAAAATATGCTTTTTGCCTATTTGTCTATCCATCAATCTAGAATTGCCGAGGGAATTTGACTACAATCAATTAAAATTTTCTCTTTATTTGAAAGAGCATGTTCAAATTGCGAAAGGCACTTCTTGGATTTAAATAGTATTTTTCTTATACTTGAAAGCATGTCCATAAAAAGACTCCCATTTTTACTCACTTTTTTGTTGACTAGTTCAACTTCTGAGATTTTTCTTTCGTAAAAGACGTAATAATAAAAAAAAACAAGCTGTCAACGCCTTCAGACAAGTGATTTCTATGGAATAAGAAAGCAAATTATTGTTTAAGATAATCACTGACAGAGAAATGTGGGCTACACGACAAAAACAATCTTTATTTTTAATATTGGTGAGTATCCCATCAATGCGCAATCCTACTGAGCTCGGAATCGTACTATAGCCTCACCACTAGTCTCAATTTGTTGTTGTTTTCATCTTTTCTGTACTTATTTTATGTCTGCACATTGTCTGTAATAACTGGAAAACAGCATAGATACTAAACTTTATCTTCTAATTGCATTTCTATTTGACGCCGAATTTTCCGAGAGAGTGAGTCTCAAAAAAGCTTTTCTTTTTTTGTTCTTCAAATTTTATCAAAAGAAATATTTTCTTGGTTATAGTATATCTATTTATGCAATAGTAAAATTCAAAAAGATTCTGACGATCACGTCCGAAACAGCAAAGGGTCGGAGTTAGTCCTAAGATACAGAAACACTCAAATAAATCTCATTAAAATAAAATATAATCTATGGCAACGATAGATACTATTTATTATTTCCTCAAACTCTCTGTAAACGTTAATTAGTTTGTATTCTTTATTTCCCATTTAAAGTAAATTTGCTTACGTATACTTGTGTTATCCGGTGTCCATCGATCAATAATCATGTGCCATTTTGGATATATCTTAACAAAATATTGGAATGAATTTACCACCATATCTAAATTCAATTTTCTATATTTATTCTCAATTAACATATGAAAATCAAATTTAGATAATAATGGAACATGTATTTCGAACATATGTTGCCATGTATAACCATTGACCAAATCATTAAGAAATGACAAGGAAACTTCTCGTATCCCATGAAGAAACTTAAAATGAATAAGATTAGGCATACAACGTAAGATACAAGCGATTGAACGAATGTCACATTGTGCAAAAATTGATAAATCGAAGGATGTCACTTGTGGTGATATAGGAAGATCATTTTCATTAATAAATGGTTCTTCAAATAAAACACTAAAAGAAAAAAGGAAAGAATATATTTTCAATCTTGTTTTATAAAGAATATTCGTTGGATATTTTCATTGAAACTTACTTGAAATTATTATTTTGAGAAGAAATTTCATGTTTTATTATGGCATGTAGATATCGTATTCTATGACAAACACGAAGAATTGGCAAAATTGAATAAACTGATATTTTATTTGGCGAGTCAGATATTAACAATTCAAGTGATTTAATATTTGAAGAAATTGAAGTATAAGTTGATATGTTCGAGTAATCATAATTATAAATAAGCTTAACTGAACGAAGAGAAGGTGATTTGTTCATCAATATAGTTCGACTTATATCACATTTGTCTTTCTCATGGATGTTTTTATAATGTGGTTGTATAGTAAAAAATGAAACAAGTCTATTCAACGTAGGTAATGTTAGCACCAGATTCGCGTATTTCCTGTCCCGATTCGCTCCTACGTCTGTGCTGTTTCCCTACTTGGTTGTGCTGGATGCAGAATTTAATTCTCTATCGAATGGTGACAACTTCGGTGGGGGTCGTCGAGCAAAAAATTGGGTCCACCACCAAAAAACCGCTTTTCCCTCCATGTGACGAATTCGGATAAGATGTAATTTCTATCCCGATTCGCGCATACATCTGTGCTGTTCCCCTCTTTGCTTGTGCTAGATGCAGAATTTTGCGCTCTATCCAACGGTATAAGTTTTCGATAGCCTCGTCGTCCAAAAAGTAGGGGCTTCTGGCCAAATACCATCCCAAAAACCACTTTTTTGCATTATCTCCTGTCCCGATTCGCCCCTACGTCTGTGCTGTTTCCCTACTTGGTTGTGCTGGATGCAGAATTTAATTCTCTATCGAATGGTGACAACTTCGGCGGGGGTCGTCGAGCAAAAAATTGGGTCTACCACCAAAAAACTGATTTTCCCTCCATGTGACGAATTCGAAAACGATGTAATTCTTGTCCCGATTCGCGCATATACCTGTGCTGTTCCTCTCTTTGCTTGTGCTGGATGCAGAATTTTACGCTCTATCCAACGTTATAAGTTTTCGATAGCCTCGTCGTCCAAAAAGTTGGGGTTTCTGGCCAAATACCACCCAAAAAATCACATTTTTACATTATCTCCAGTCCCGATTCGAAAATCGATCTGTGCTGTTTCCCTAGTTGCTTGTGCTGGATGCAGAATTTCATTCTCTACTGAATGGTGGAATTTTCGAGTGAAACCAACGAGGGGTGTCCGAGTGAGTGGGCTGATACCAACCCCAAGCCACACTTCTTGCAAACCTTGCTGGTTATCTCGATTCGCGACGTTGTGCTCTCTCTCGGGTGCCTTGTGCTGAGTACAGAATTCAATTCTGTATCGAATGAACTAGAAACATGCGCAAGAATAAATGCTAACACAAATCAGATTTTATACCGTGTGTTGAAAGAAAATAGATGACAATCTTAATAGACATGATTGCAATCCAATTTACTTTTTATCTAAACACAACAAAAACAAATTTTTACATAAAATCGATCTAGTTCTGCGTATTTGATATGCATTTATATGTAATAAATATAAATGCTAAACGATATTTAGTTTTTGACATTCATTTTAATTAGTGAATGAATACTCAAACCTGGGAAAGAAAAGTCTACGGTCTTTTTTTTTGTTGATAAACACTTCATATTAGTGATGTCTAATATGACTATTTTTTATATTTCGTTTGTATGTTATTAGATGACTTAATCGAATGAGGCATAAATACGAAGAAATAAGCAGTTGGATAATCGAATCCAATATGTGTTTTTGTTTGAATTTTGAAATGAGTTCGATTAATATAAAAACTAATCTAGTTATAGGTGTAACAATCCAGTGAAAAACTATCAGATTATGCAGGATTATGTCCGATTATAATTTTGATTTTCGTTGCAAAAATTCATAAAAAAACAACTATAGTATGATAAACAAAATCCATTGCTATAGTTTTTTTCTACGTAGCAATTATTACTAATACTTTTTTCGTAAACGTGCACAAATAAGACATCAAGAGATAATAAACGGTTTCCAATCATTAGAATCACTTAATAGAATTTATTGTGCAAATAGAATAATTTGCAAGGGGAAAAAATTAGATCCCAGTGGATTTAACAGGATCTACCAGAAGACACGAGGACCCAGCAGGAGCCACTAGGGTTCATCAGGATCCATCAGGATCGATTAGGATCCGGCGATCCAGGATCTGCTTTTCCCCCCTTTATATATATCAATTTATGATAATATTTCTGTGTCTTCTCATTTGCAAACATAAAATCGAAATTATAATCGGACATAATCTTGCATAATCTGATAGTTTTTCACTGGATTCTTACACCTATAACTAGATTAGTTTTTATATTAATCGAACTCATTTCAAAATTCAAACAAAAGCACATATTGGATTCGATGATCCAACTGCTTATTTCTTCGTATTTATGCCTCATTCGATGAAGTCATCTAATAACATACAAACGAAATATAAAAAATAGTCATATTAGACATCAGTAATATGAAGTGTTTATCAACAAAAAAAAAGACCGTAGACTTTTCTTTCCCAGGTTTGAGTCTTCCTTCACTAATTAAAATCAATGTCAAAAACTAAACATCGTTTAACATTTATATTTATTACATATAAATGCATATAAAATACGCTGAACTAGATCGATTTTATGTAAAAAATTGTTTTTGTTGTGTTTAGATAAAAAGTAAATTGGATTACAATCATGTCTATTAAGATTGTCATCTATTTTCTTTCAACACATGGTATAAAATCTGATTTGTGTTAGCACTTATTCTTGCGCATGTTTCTAGTTCATTCGATAGAGAATTGAATTCTGCACTCAGCACAAGGCATCTGAGAGAGAGCACAACGTTGCGAATCGAGATAACCAGCAAGGTTTACTGGAAGGGTCAACTGGGGTAGGCATCGGCCCACTAACTCGCGTTTCTTACTTTTGTTTTACCTGAAAATACCACCATTCGATAGAGAATTGAATTCTACATTCAGCACAAGGCACCCGACAGAGAGCACAACGTCAGGGATCGAGATCACCTGGATGGTTAGTTGGAAGGGTCCATTGGAGTAGGTATCTGACCCATAACTTCCGTTCTTTGCTTTGGTTTTACTTGAAAATACAGCCATTCGATAGACAATCGAATTCTACACTCAGCACAAGGCATTCGACAGAGAGCACAACGTCAGGGATCGAGATCACCTGGAAGATTAGTTGGAAGGGTCCATTGGGGTAAGTATCTGACCAATAACTTCCGTTCCTTGCTTTCGTTTTACTTGAAAATGCAACCATTCGATAGAGAATCGAATTCTACACTCAGCACAAGGCTTTCGAGAGTTAGCACAACGGCAGGGATCGAGATCACCTGGAAGGTTAGTTGGAAGGGTCCATTTGGGTAGGTATCTGACCAATAACACCCGTTCCTTGCTTTGTTTTTACCTGAAAATACCACCCTTCGACAGAGAATTTAATTCTGCATCCAGCACAATCAGGTAGGAAAACAGCACAGATCGATTTTCGAATCGGGACTGGAGATAATGTAAAAATGTGATTTTTTGGGTGGTATTAGGCCAGAAAGTCCAACTTTTCGGACGACGAGGCTATCGAAAACTTATACCGTTGGATAGAGCGTAAAATTCTGCATCCAGCACAAGCAAAGAGAGGAACAGCACAGGTGTATGCGCGAATCGGGACAGGAATTACATCGTTTTCGAATTCGTCACATAGAGGGAAAATCAGTTTTTTTGTGGTAGACCGTATTTTTTGGTCGACGACCTTGGTCGAAGTGGTCACCGTTCGATAGAGAATTTAATTCTGCATCCAGCACAATCGAGTAGGAATACAGCNATCTAATAAATAAATTATTTATATATATGAAATAAACTTACATATTGTGCATGATTATTTAATTGCCAACATTGAGTTAATTTATCGATTAATTCATAAATTTGTTGTTGAACATGATAATAATATTCCAACATGACGATATCGACATGATAATCCAACACGCATATATACATTTGCTGATAACGGATTTAATAAAATTTTAACATGTTTTGATAATGTACGATTAGTTTGTTTTGTTGAACCTAAATATTTCAAGTTTTTCTTTTTTTTTGTTCCTTTTTGAAAGAATTTCTTTCTTTATACCAATTGTATTCATTATTTTTGGTGGTTTTAATGGTTTACTAATAATTGATACATGTTCTTGTGATCCTTTTACATGTAAAAATGCATTACCATTACGAATAAGTTGATCTAAAACAAATATTGGTGGTTTTTTATCAAAACCTATTTAAATAACAAGAAAATTATTTGATAAGAAAAATTTCTTTTTTTTTTCTTTCAAGAACTTACATCGAACTTTTGGTTTTAAACATGAATAAGCAAGAATAGAACATAATTCAAGTGAATCAACATTAGATTTTTCTTCTAATAAAAGAAGGATAAAAAAAAAAAAAAAAAAAAAAAAATGAATATTAACCTTCAGTAAATGTACATAGTTTTGAAACTATACGAAATGAACGATAATAAAAACGACGTATTGGACCAAATATACGTTGTTGTGCTTCAGGATTTACAAAACAATGTCGTGTATTAAAGAATTGATCGAATGCTTCGAAAATTCTTCCATACTAACAAAGATGAAAACAAAAAACAAACTAATATAGATTTATAAATAAATATCATCATACTATTCGAAGTTCACTAAAAAAATTTCCTTGTTCTTCCATAGTCCATTTTCTTTTATCTGGTGATTTAGGTACCATCTCTTTGATCTTTTTTTATTTTAGGTGCTGGTGGTAGAATTTGAACAGCTAAATAAAATCATAATAATAAAAATATTGTCATTATTAATAGTATTCTTTACTTGAACTACGTTCACGTTTTGGTTGTTTTGTTATTTCTTTCGTACGAGATGCAATAGAACCTTCAACAACATGTATTATTGATGATTGAGATTCGATTTTATTATCGTCTATTGTTTCATTCATGACATTTATTTTCTAGAAATATAATTGACAATTAGGGTATTCAACGTATTTGGTACGGACTCTCACCCGAAAAAACATAAAGAAAAATGTGAATCAATAGCAAATGCTCATGGATTGGTGCTTGACATTTTTGAGAGGGGCAGGAAATAAATTTTACCCTATCTTATGGAGAAAAATTTACTCTATCGAACTGCGTTTTTGATTTTTTTTTAAAAAGTGGCAAGTAATGACACAAAACGTCATTAAAGATGAGATTGTAGCGACCTCGTTATGGTGTATTTTCTTTCATTGAGTTAAGTCTCATTACTTGCCATTTTTAAAAAAAAAACCAAGAACACAGTTCGATAGAGAAAACTTTTCTCTACAATATGTAATCAAACTTATATCGTGCCCATGTCAAAAATGCAAGTACCAATCCGTGAAGATTTGCTATTGATTCGATGAGTCATCGAGCTCAGCGCACATACCAATTGATCATGTGAATAAGAGAAAAGAAAAAAACATTTATTGGTTAATTTTTTTTATCTATTTGTCTGATAGAACGAGAGATGGCGTAATTTTCTAAATCAACGAAAGCAATGAACTAAAAGAGCTGATTCAAATTAATTTTTGAACATCTTTATTCAAAAATAAAATACTAAAAAAATATGAAGAAAAATACTAGTGATGTAGGATAATTTAGAGTGAAAAGCAACACTTATACGAAAAAAACTATAAAGAAATTTAAAAAAAATGATCAAACACTTAATTGTGTCTGGATGAAGGTGTGAGTCAGTGGCGGAGCCAGGGGGTGCAAGGATGGGCTGAGCCCACCCTACGGAACGTTGAGGCCCCCCCCCTAGAAAGAGTTTAAAAAAATCCATTTCTTTATCCGAATATGTATCAATGTTTGCTATTTCACATTTTGACAAACAGGCTCATTAAATTAATTTTAATAGTTTTCTTCAGTTTACTATATTTCTGCAAAACATAATACGTTTCTTGTTTAAATGTGGCTGGATAGAGCATTCATTTCTTTGTCGAACTGTATATTTTTTATCTGATTTATCTCTCATCTTGACCATGAATTTAGTGAAGTTCTCAAAGCCCTCAAAAAAGTTTTTTCCATGGCGATGCCTTGTGTCTCAGGGGAAATGGGCCTCTCAGTATTTTTAAGATTTCTCCTGTATTATCCTTGTGATGAAAGCCCTTTTTATTATCAAAAGATAGCGCTTGAAATTCTCTACAAAACCATATATGACTAGACCCAAAAATAGTTTTAGATATATTTGAAAAAAGGCGAAAACTAAAGACATGCAAACAGCAGTAAAAAGTAAATGTGTGACCCATAATAAATGGTCGCAATTTGCATTTCGTATTTTAATCTCTAGATACATGTTATTAAAAAAACAAAATATATTACAAGATGCAGCGTTAAAAGTTCTACAATCTACAAACTAAAGTTTATTTTAATTGTACACTTTTTGTTTGCAAAAAAAAGCAAAACTCTGTGCGACCAATTTTCACCGATACGAAAACCGATCTCGCAGAATTTGGAGTTTTTTTGAACATAAAAAGTACACAACTAAAATAAACCGTTCTTTGTAAACTGTAAAGCTTTTCACGCTGCATCTTGTGGTATATTTTGGTTTTTTTAAAAGAAACATATTAGGTGATAAAAAGATAAAATAAGAGAAAGGAATTTTCGTTTGTGTAAAAAAAATGATTTTTTCACAATGGCAAAATTGGCCACAGAGTTTTGCTTTTTTTGCAAACAAAAAGTGTACAATTAAAATAAACTTTAGTTTGTAGATTGTAGAACTTTTAACGCTGCATCTTGGAATATATTTTGTTTTTTTAATAAAATCTATTTAGACATGAAATGCAAAGTGCGGTCATTTATCTTGGGACATCCATTATTTACTTTTTACAGCTGTTTGCATGTCTTTAGTTTTCGTCTTTCTTCAAATATATCTAAAACTATTTTTGGGTCTAGTCATATATGGTTTTGTAGAGAATTTCAAGCGCTATCTTTTGATAATAAAAAGGGCTTTCATCACAAGGATAATACAGGAGAAATCTTAAAAATACTGAGAGGCCCATTTTTCCTTGAGACACACGTTATCACCGTGAAAAAGCTTTTTTTGAGGGCTTTGAGAACTTCACTCAATTCTTGGTCAAGATGAGAGATAAATCAGATAAAAAATATACTGTTCGATAGAGGAATGAATGCTCTATCCAGCCATATATAAATAAGAAACGTATTATGTTTTGCAGAAATACAGTAAACTGAAGAAAACTATAAAAAATAACGTAATCAACCTGTATATGATCCATCAACTTGATGGATGTGAGTGTTGATAAGGAAGAAACTCATCCTCAGGCCCACACCCTACACTCACACACACACCCCACACTCACCCTCACCCACACACACCCATACCCAAATTGAACATTTTTGTTTTACTTGTTCGTTCAGCTTGTATTCTGAGGAAAGCATCACCAAAAAGAACTATTCACTCTATATCGAGATAATACATTCATATTCCTAATACGAGTCAAAAATATTTTCGGGGGCTGAGCCCCCCCTAGCCCAAAATCCTGGCTCCGCCACTGGAATAAGTATTTGATAGGATGGAGTTTTCAAGCACTTGGAATCCAATGACTGTCAAGGAGTTCGGAATTTGAAGAGCAAGAAGAGAAACGATATATTTCAAATTTTCGACCGGTCGTCGCGTCCATTGTATGCTTTCAAAGTCTGCTTGAATGATGCATACTTAATATTTCCTGAAGATGAAGCCAAGTTTCTCTAAACATTACCTTCGTTTCAAGACGGTCGCTCGTATCTAATATAGGTGAATTTTCTATTATCAGGAATGACAAAGCTAATGCTTTCTTTCCACCTAATCGTGTTACAAGGTAATAGTCTGTTTACGTGAATCTAGACTGAAGTCGGAACTGAAACCACTACATAAACGAATTTCTAAGCATCATCAATGCATACGTAAGTCTTGAAATGTCAACTACAAACATTAGTGCAATAGTCGGTAGTGAGTTTTGAAAGAAACATGAGGTTTGTTTTACAAAGTGATATCGAATTTTCATGCACAAACATTTCAAGTAGAAGAATTTAGATCATTTCGACATTGCAGCGTAGAATATTATCACGAAAAAGTCATCAAACTTGAAAATAACGGATAAATCGATATATTATTCAAAAGAGTCAGCTTCTTCTGTCGACTTGCATTTTAGATTGCATCTTTGTTTAATGAAAAATATAAAAAGCATCGTATTCACCTTCTATGGTCTGTGTGTCCTTGGCAGTGCTGCTAAGATAATTGTCTATCAGCCGAATGACCACTTCAGTAGTCATAATCCTGATTTAGACTGGTCTTTTGGTTATACGCTGCCAGATGATCATTTGAGTTTTCGTTTGTATTCAACTTACACTGACAATGTCTATGGTAAGCCGGATATAACTAACCTACAAATTTCATCAATGTCGGGTTATGCATTATGGTACAATTATAACACATCGGAGGGTGCAAATTATGAGAGTCAAGGTGTGGTTGGTATGAATCGGAATAAAAATGTAACTTTACAATATTTCAATCAGCTGCGATTAAAACCAGGTCAAATGTGTTTCCATCCTGGTGTCAACAATGCCCATGCCACTATTCGCTTTACAGTTCCAACATCTGGTTTCTATGATGTGAATGGTGTGTTTTTCGTGCCAGGATTTGTGACAGATACATCTCTGGATGCCACTACGGATGTGTATTTATCAGTTAATAATGTCGAGTTTCGTTCGTTATGGACGATTCGAGAACCAGGCATGTTAATCCTCAAACAGTTCTACCTAAACGTTGGTGATTATGTTCAATTTGAAGTCGGATGGGGTAAGAACAAGAACTATTTGTATGATACAACTGCAGCCGACATCGAGATCATATATTACGTTTGAAGTCATTATGGTTGGCGGCTCATGTGATTCTAAAAATAAAAACTTCAAAGCGAGAACATTCCATGATTGCTCCTTTTCTTAGAAAACTTGAATTTAAAATAAAACTCTCGGCTCAGTACTTGGTCACGGTTGATGCTGCAAACTTCGTGCATGTAAAGCTGTCATGTGCAGAATAGTCTCATAGCAATTGCAAGTAAAAAATTAGACTAAAGGCGTTTTCTAAAAGGTTGGAAAATGCGTGAAAGTCGTCAATCAAGATCCAGTGAAATACTTAGATATCTGCTTTCTGTATAGAGTCCATAGGGTGGAAGGATAAGTGTGGGTGTGGGTGAGAACATCGATCTTGTTTCCACCTCCACACTCTCAGAACAACCCCCTATCCATTCTCACCCCACATCCCACAGCAGCAGCCAAAGTCATAGCCACACACCCTAAGCTTTTTCTACTATTAAATGTAGCTTCCTATGTCTACTTTACTGAGTCAAAATCCCAGCTCAGAATGTCGAGATCTCATTGATTGTCAATCTATGCCGTATTGAACTCTTTTGATGAATCTATCTCGACTCTAGTTTGAGTTATGATTCTAAAAATTATATCATCAACTGCTAGATTCATGAGAAATCATAACTGAAATTTTCAGGTGAATCAATCAAAACTAAGTCGAGTTATTCGAGACCTGGCCAAGTTCCCAGGAGCCGGGAACTCAATGGGAATTGGGAACTCAAAGAGTGTGGGTGTAGGTAGGGGTGGGATGGTCCTCAAGTCCTTTTTTTCGAAAAAATAGGACTTGAGGACCCTCCCACCCCTACCTACACCCACACCCACACTCTTTGAGTTCCCATTGAGTTTCCGACTCCTGGGAACTTGGCCAGTGCTGAGTGGACGAATAATTTTTCAACTCACTGTGTTCATTTTTATTTCTTATTAGTTATACCGTGTCTGTTGCAGAGACAAAAGAGATAATAGAGTACACTGTAAAAACAGTGTAGAATGGAAAAACGAAAAAGGAGTTTATGAAAGTGCAACCTATAAAGAACCCTTTTCAATGGTTTATTAACCTGTCATAAACCCTTTCATAAGTCTTTTGAAAAGGCATTAATACGGGGTTCATGAATCTCAAGTACCGATCCCAAAGGGTTTATGTAACGATTGATTGGGTTCATAAATCCTCAAAGGATTTGCTATACGTTGCAATTTCATAAACCCCTAAAATGGGTTCATTATCATCATAAACGTAGGCTTAGAAAGTATACTTGAAAGCGTTTATGGAGATCATGAATGGTCGAAAGTGTTTATGATGAGGTTTATCAAAGGGATTATTGGTCTCATGAATCATTCCAAGGCTTTATGATAAGGTAAATTAAGGAGAATTATTCGAGGGTGTCCAAGAACTGAGGTATAGGAATTATTCCAATACCTAAAAGTACCAGCTGAAGCCACTAAATTTCACGAGAAACTGAGAGCTAACATTGACACACTGCACATGTCCTCTTCAGTTATCACAATCTGATGCATGTCAGATCACTTCCTCAGCTCCTCAGAAAACTGACCATAGATTCCTTCTAAATCTCTACCTCAATTCGTAGATACTGTCAGCAGAACTGTTATAATTCATGGGCTCCTCAAACTTTCCCACCTTGAGCTCATATGCTACACAAGTTGTATCCAGTATAATATTTGAGTCCAAAGTGAAAAGGTCCATTTAACTGTGGAGTTGTAGCAGTTCTGATGATGCTACCTAGGAATTGAGGTAGATACCTAGAAGGTATCTACACTTAGTTCCTCTGAGGAACTGAGGAAATGATCTGACATGCATCAGATTGAGGTAACTGAAGAGGATATGTGCAGTGTTTAAGAGAGGTTTCGCCAGCCAATCGAGCATCTGTCACAGGGGTCATTTTATGATCGAAATTAATACATACTTTTTTTCATCAATTGATTCCTCATACATAATTGAGGTTAAGAAAAATTTTTTAAACTCCTATCATGTAATCTGATGGAGTTACAGGCATTGAAGCAACGAAGGAGTCGGAAAAACTAAAAAATAATTTATCTTCAGTATTTTGCCTAAATCTTCGTTACTTTTTATCCGTTATTTTCAGACAACAGCTCATTCGAAAGAGCATGCAAAACTGAACAAAAAAGCATTGCGTAGCTCTTCCAAAAAAATGAGTCTTGAGAGTAAAAAAATAGCTTTTTTAAAAGACTGTGTTTCTTTTACATCAACATTTTTTTATTATAACTCTTTTTTACTATGATAATCGAGTGGCGAGAAACTTATATATAGTGTATCTTGTAGAGAATTGTGCGCTCTACAAAACCCTTATAAAAATGTTTCAAAAAAAGTTTCAGAAAAACTTTGAAAATGAGGAACAAAGAGAAGTGGTAGTTCCTCAAAACTTATCAATAAAAGCAAAATGATGCGATTTTCAAGAAAACTCAACTTTTATTATGAAAAGTAGACATCTGTATCAATTCTAACTAAGAACAGTGTTAAAAGAATGTCTTATTCTAAAGTTCTGTGAAAAAATTACAGACAACAAATTTGTGAAGCAACGGGTTTCTTCCTAAGAAAAATTACGGTTTGATTCTCCTATATTGATCATTCGTAATTCGCGAACATAAGATAGGTTTTTTAAAGTTTTTTATTTATTTTTCTGTGAGTTAATACCGAATGAATGTAGGAAATTAAACGAAGTCATACAAACAAAAAAAGAAAATAAAGACAACAGTTTTTATCTAATATTTTCAATCGACATCGTACATGCGTCGTATATTATTATTCGATTGATCAATAACTTTCGTTGTATTAATGTTTCTCTTTCGTAATATATTTACAATATGTTGTGCGGTACAAGTTATGCTACTAATAGTGTTATATTGTTTTTGTTCTAATTCAGATGGTCTCAGAAAAGAAAATCAGTTTCGATGATTATTCGAGAAAGAACGTAGGATTAAACATTCAAGCAATTATTAAAAGATTTCTGTGATTCCAAACCGTTTTTGTCATTGATGGATCCGTTTAGACCAATGAATGAATTTTCTAAGTGATTTAGAAAATTGGATATTACATTTAAATTGGTTGCTGGATTAATGCAATACCAATGAATCTTTTGAATAGAATTCAAGTGTAGCTTCAACTCATGTAGCATCATGCTGAATGAATCGTTTCCACGATCATGAAGAACAATTAGTGACATTTCTAATTTAGCTGCTAACTTCAGTTGAAACCTAAATATAATCAACTGCAAATCATACGGACAGTTACTTGTATCATCAAGTCCGCACTCACATATTCCTACTTTTTCTGTTTTTAGAACAAATTGGTTTTTAAAAATGTTTTCTAGTTGTTCAAATACATATTGTGGATTTGTTGGAAAGTATTTTGGATGTATACCATATGTGATGTAGATTTTAGCATTGAGACTTTTTAGTCCATAATTAATGAACCATTTGTGATAATGATTCCGATTATCTATAAATATAATTCTTCTTCCATCTGATAATAGTTTACTGAAGTCATTTTCATTTAACCCATAACTGAAAAATAAATCCACATGACAATGACCATTATATAGTGGTAACGTAATTGGTAAATGGTACTTGAGTTTATATTTACATATATTATACAAACTATTTTCACAAATGCCATTCATTTCAAAATCTAAATAATATTAAGAAAACTTTAGTGTTGTTGATCCAGTTAAAACGAATAATCAGATGATACTTACCAGTGCTTTGGTTTTATTGCTTTACCACGTAATTTAGGACCTATGAGATGTTTTCACATAAAATTCAGGTAAACCTACGAGACTTTTTTTACCACACGGAAGCTCACATGTTTACTAAGAGTTCTTTTAACTTTATCAAAAAATTAAAAAAAGTTTTTGGAAGAAAACAATGAAACTAAAGTATTTTATAAAAACAAAAACAAAAGAAAGGAAAGAGAATTTAGACAAGAAAATTTCACGTCATGTAGAGTTCGAAGCGTGAAATGATGCATAAAGAATAAATGTTAATGTGACTAATATAAGCATCTAAGAGTAAATAATCTACAAAATCCAATAAAGTTCTTCACAATACTCTCGTGTCTGTTTGATTACATAAAAAAACCCGCTGAAGTCAATGCAAAGAGTGTCGGTCTTAATGGCAGGGCGAACGGTCTCCTACAACACAGACTAAAAGGGTGTGGATGGATGTGGGTGTGAGTGTGGGGGTGGATATGGGTGTGAATCTTACCATCACTCACATTGACATCCACACCTACATCCGTTTTTTTACAGATTTGATGATGCCGAACATGTTTCGAATAAAATGAGATGTGCATGAATCAATAAGAGAAAGATTAAGCGCATGAGAACTGCAATGTATATATTCAGCATCAAGACATAATCGTTTAACAATAGCGTGACAGCCATTAAAAACACCAGACATACTAGGAGCACCGTCATATGCTTGTCCAATACAATTGTTTGATGGAAGTTGATACCGCTTCAAACTTGATAAAATGTGATCGACAATAGCTTCACCAGTTGACGAAGTAGTCAGCACAAAAGCAAGAAAATCTTCACGAATTTCATGTGGGTCCGGATTGACATATCGAATGAGCACACATAGTTGTTCGACGTTAGATGAACCAGGGGGTCCACCGAGTATTATAGAGTAGAGTGTTGATGGACCCAAACAACCAAGAATGGACGACAAAATATACTCATGAATAAGTTCAATAATTTCGTTTTGAACAGATGAACTTGTATATATTTCATTACGACTTCCTTTTTCAAGATGACTTTGAAGAAGATGATCATCAGCATCAATACGTCCAGATGGTATTTCAATAGAATCAAGATTTTCTCGAATAGACATAATGTATTCAACTAAAAAAGTCAACCCTGTATACGTCAATCTTTCAGTGGGAATTATACTCTAATTCTTATACTATGGAGCCTAGGTACGACAGTACCAACACTCACTGATACGCTTCGCTCTCGATTAATTGAACTGTTGGCATTTCTCTACAAGATTTCTGATTAATTTCACATATTGCAAAGACTTTTAATCAGTAATTCAAAAAAAAATTCTCTAATGTTTAGCTTAATTTTCTAGCTAATATGAGTATCTGATATAACTACCTTTATGATGCAATTAATGAAAAACTATTTTTGACTGCGAAAATTCTGAAGATGAGCAGTAAAACAGAAGTTAATATTTTCACTGCTTTTCTTTTAACCCACTCTTCCACTCTCAACATAAAATTCATCTCTCATGCGAACAGTAACTATCGATAGTTTACTACGATGCTGTCCAAAGCTTATTTTAGTACGAGAACTGTATTTCAAAAATTAGTCTGGATTATTCTCTAGTAAAAGAAAAGAAAAGCTTACATCAATGACCACGTAAAGCAATATTTTGTCGTGCACAAGTGATCACCACTTTAAAAATTGAAAGAAGTATGGTTTTGTTTTTTTCGATCGCTTCGATTCTGTTTCGATCAAGCTGGTAAGCAATACTAGAAGATGGATTTTCGAATGTCCGAATAAAATTCGTAGCGCGCTCAATAGCTGTTTTATGATTTTCCGAAATGAGATGAAATTTAATGTTCGTGGTGAAATGCTTTAATGTTCGAATCGAGAACATGGATAGTGAACGAAGATAACAGCAGATTGATTTGAAACTAAAGGTGAAAAAAGAGCACAAGCAGAACAAAACACACCTTCATAATATGGCGAGTAAGAAAGAAATGAGTACTGGGTTAACCATGTAGCCATGAATCGACGAACAGTTACATTTTTTTCACGTTGATTCGAAAATATGTATTTATTATCAGGTCGAAATGGTGCTGTCAGTAGCTGATATTTGATATCGTTAGCAGGTGAATTATGTTGTGATAGTTGGTACCCAATATCGTTGTCATAACTTTCTGGATGAGAATCCATAACAATCAAGCTCTGATCAACGTTAGTACAATCGATTTCAATTGCCTCGTCCAAATTAGTATTATTGGCTTGAGTCGTATCAACAGTGATAAGATCAGATTCATCGGCATCGGATTGTTCACACTCAGTTTGTTCAGACGAAGGAGAAGTAATGAAAGCCTTTTTCGTAACAGTAACAAATGAATCGAGTGTTCGTTTATTACCAGACATTTTTATGCAGAAGATATTCAATATAGAAATGAGGGGATTTTTCTGTCAACAATTTCACCGTCGTTGTTCTTTTGTATTGATTAACGGAAGATAATGTTTCCTGTTTTTTGTTATTTGACCGCAGTGCTGACAATTTCTTTGATCATCTGACGACTGTCATACTCATAATTGCTCTTTAATGATTGAGAATGACGACGAGTGTTTCTTTCTCGTTTCATCCGATAACGAAGAAACTCACTTTATCATCTCTCATCACATAATGATGACTGCTTCTCTGTATTTTATTCCTAGCTAGTCCTTTCACTCTTGTAAGTTTTTTTAACTACTGATATATTTAGTTATCTGTACATCCTCTGAACTATATATTATCATTCCATTACTATTACTACTAATTACTAAGTGAAACTTTCAAACGGCACTCATTAACATCTTCTTCTGCGAATTGGAATTTTTATTAATCTAATTGCGAAAGTATTGTCAACACTCATACCGTTCAAGTATTCGATATAAGCTACGTCAGTCGTTTGCGTTCAAAAAAATTCTACATATGTTCTCTCGAAAGAATCATAAATATGCGTTTGTATCTTTATTACCAACTTTAAGTCAGGGTATAAGTTTTTTTTAGGTTAAAATAAGATGGAATTGTCATTATTTTGATCATTGCTTCGGTGGAAAATATCATCAATTGATTTTTCTCGATCATTTGAATATACTTCAACAGCAATCAGCGTTAAAATAACTTTATCTAAGTTTTCAAACATGCATGTATATCAATATTTTTCGGTGTTGGGCCATTGTCATTGTCTGAAAAATTTATTGGGCAATAACTTTTTAAGTATTGGGCAATTGCTCAATGGCCACCCCCTGGCTACGCCACTAGCATGTAGCTTTATCTTCTAACAGTTATATTTCGTGTCGACGTTTATACGACATAATAGTAGCATATTCTCATTCGGGATTTCACTTAGATAGCAAAAACAAGAAAATAAGAATATAGATAAGAATGGCCATTTTGAGTTATTATTATCTGTAATTCACTTTTCTGCCACTTCGAACACTGTCACTCTTTCTTATTCTTGCCCGGATTTCATTTGTTTTCTTTAATTAAGTATGGAAATCAATGATCATGAGATCAATAATAAGTGCGGCAGAAATGCAGACGAAATAACGCAAGATAACAATCTACAAAAACCCAATATATGCAATAAATATGTACTATGTTATGAATTTATCAAGCGACAAGGTTTAAACAAGTTCGATGAAATTCGAGAAAATTTATCTCGTAGTATTCAATTGAATGAATTACAACCAGCCTTTTCATTTTTTCGATTGAATTGCAACGATTCATTTCTCTCTACGGATTCTATTTCAACAAAGTCGATCATCTCAAACTTGTCAACTTTTATCTATTTGTACTTTCAATTACCGATCTACATTATACAACGTAGAAATATGTTGTGAACTACTTTCTGACCTTTTACGGTTTGCATTTAAAATTCTTTAAAATATCATTTAGAAATGATTCAATCATGCTACTTTGTAGAAAGAATCGTTTAATAACAATAGATGATCTAGTCATCGATTGGCGTAAGCTCTATCGATGAACGAAACTGATTCATAATAACCATGATGCAACTCATGCATTAATCACGTTGCCGAAGTTTGTAGTACGAACATTTGAGTACGAGAAACATTTCCTATTTTCCTTTTCAGAGGCCTCGAATTTTTGGTCCTGTGGCATATGCATCATTGCTTGCCATACTTTTCAACAACGGTTACTCAAGAACTTCTTGAATCATTTCGTCCACAATTGTGTCCCATGGATTTGAATTTTTTCTATATCATGAAAATATTTAGTTATTTCCTGTCATTTAATCTACCTTCAAATTTACACAGTCAAGGATCCAAGTTTGTATTTGTCGTAACATTTTAGCAATATACACTGCTTTTTTTTGTTTTACTTTAGATTATGGCTACAGGAATTTTTCGACATTTGGCAAAGTATCTACAACAGAACAGCGTGAGAATCGGTGCGTAATTTTAAACATAGTTCCTCGTGTGAATGATTCAATTTAGTATATGATCGACATGTTTTCATCAGTAGCCTGGAGCAATATTGGTCATATCGATTGGGAACTATGGTTAGCACAGGTATCAAAATGCTTTTGAAACATGTCGCGTGAAGAACACTTTTTTTATTTGATGATAGATCTTTACGTGTATACTCAGAGGTTTTACACTGCCCGTTGGCAAAATGCAAATGTCTCCGCAGAAATATAGTTATTTCCCGTTTCAAATCGCAAAATGGATCGTTAGTATGTTTGGCAATGGAAGCTCGTGTCTTCAATATTTGTACGATCTTTTTATCTCCATCAAAAGTTTCTACCATCCATCGAATACAGGAAAGTTTCAAGAAAATCTGGTCAAATTCGTCTTGAATCTTGCTAAATGTTTTGTCGATCGAGTTCGTTTGTGAGTATTGATCTTGTGCGTATGTTAGGCATTTCATTCAGTCAGACTTTTTTAGAGAACGCAAAGCTTATCCTGTTTGGTAGTTTCAACTGCACGAATCCTATCGATTAACAGAACAGAACATTACAGATTTTGTTAATTGTATCAAAGACTATGCATTCATTTCTATTTTCAATAAGGAACATGGAAAAAAAACGATAGAAGCCTGTCAATATCTATCCATGCCTCGATCAGAGTTAATCGTGTCGCCCGTGATTGAAAAGCCAGAGAACTTTGCTATTAGTTTTTTTTCATTGACAGATTCTGAATTGATTCATTTTGTAGGTTTTTTTCAACCTTTGACAACATCACTGAACCTCATCGTTTCACGTCAATTCGGAATTGTCTAACGAATCTAGCCCACCAAATAGTTCGGCAAACGTCTTCTTATTCTGAGGGACAAACATATTTATTACCATTGCTCATATCCACATTACCCGAAATCGATTTAAATGATTCCAACAAGACATTGACAATATTGGAATTTCTGAACACTGTTTTCTCGCTTATCGTCTTTGTCGATTGTTCATCGACAGTACGCATCCGAAATGATCTGACAGAAGTAAGACTTCAATTGAATTCTAACAAAAGAAAAATAGTAAATATCTTTTTGTTGTAGGCTGAGATGCAAGTATGTTTATCAACGATACAATTTGAAAATTTTATTAGTACATTCCTCAATCGAGTATTTCGAATGATCGAACTATTATCAACAGATATTTCCGATGCTGAAATGATTACTGACGAAGTTAACAATGAAAATAGAAGTATTGAATTATTACTCCAATCAATTCTACTCAACATTGTTCAACAATGTAGTAGCAAAATCTATCAAGTATGTATAAATAATCATGACCGAAACAATCAAGACTATCTGTTCGATCTCAAGTCATATATAAAAATATTTCAATATTTGTGTTCGTGTTCTATTTAGTTGGTTCTAGAGAAGATAACACATTTTCGTGCTCTCAAGTGTCTCTTACCTAAAACATATAAATCCATTGAACAGATCATGATTAATGTCGACACAACTGAAGCATTCATCAATGGTAAAGAAAATCTTGAAGTTATCTGGCATTTAGCTCTTTTCTCTGAACTTGTTCATGCTCGTGATGATGTTCTACTTATCTACCAACAAATGATTATGTCAATTTTTCATCGATGCATTCCTATCATGCCCAAGAAAACATACGAAATCGTGGCTAATGCAGCCAGTTATTTACTCAAATCACTCACTCGTGTATATCCAATTTTTTGTCAATTCGAGTAAGACTTCTTATTTTTCCGTTTTCATGAATAAAATCAATGCTTCATATGACTATTGAGATATGGAGACAATCTGCCAATGTTGATCAACAACAAGTTCAATATCACATTCCAAATGCGAATGAAATTGATTTTGCTTGTGAGCTTGTCAATACATTTCTCTATCCTGAATTGACATTGTTAAATGAGAAAAATCTCAAATTGTCCAATTATGAACGATTGAGATCGCTTACACTACGTAGTTCATGACATCGCTCTCGGATTCTTTTATATGGTTCTGCGCATCGAAAACGAACAAGTATCCAATCTGTAAATGAAACATTCAGTATGAAGAAGTGTCTGAATAAAGAAATGTTACTGTTACTACAGAATATCATCGGTTATTTCCTACAATCCAAAGTATCAAATTCAAACTTGTATTTATGCCAAAGAACCAAGTAAGATGATTAGTTGCAAGAGAAATAAAAAATTATCATAATAGCTGTTGTTGTTCTTTGTAGAATTTAGAGAAAACTTGCGCATGCATCTTCTTATCGATATTGGCAAATTACTCGGTAAATCATCTATGAATTAATACATACAATTATATTCGATCTTTTCTTGTTGTAGACATACTTGTAGAAAATCATTCTGATAATGTTTCATCAATAAAAAAGCGCTTATAGCAAGTATAGGTTTCTAGCGCATTCTATTTGCCTAACAATTACATTTGTTCAAATGTAGATCTTTTCATTGTCGTCTATGTATGATGGTTTATCGAGACAAGATGCTGATGCATGGCACCGATATTTAAGAGAGCCTCCATGACACCATTGAAGATTCGAAGCACTCGTCAAAATTTAAATTTTTGGTTTTTTGTGTGCATTCGAAAGAACAATGTCTGAAACTACTAAACCTAAATTTTTAGCTCAATCTGGTTTGTTATAGTGAAGTTAGCCCGGACCAACTTTCCGCACCC